AAGATAGTTGGATGGATGGATGGATGGATAGATAGAAGATAGTTGGACGGACGGACGGACGGACGGATGGATGGATACTTTATTGTCCCCAAGGGAAAATTTGTCTTGGACATTGTGCGCTAACGAAGCTTATTCCACAATTGAATACACTACAACCAATAAAATCATGTGGACCCCATAATAAAATACAAAAATATAAAACGCATCACACAGTCTAGTGGTGATACTAATCATATCGTTTTATTAAATCAACTGGAGTGGGTCAGAAGTTATGGTCCAGACAAGCAAACAGACAAACGTGTGTTCTGCCTACACAGTTAACAATATAACAAGCGATGCATGACGATTCAACGTAAGGTCAATACGTTTTTCAATATCAACTGATTTTTATGAACTGATAAAACAACAGAATTCTTGAAACCTTTTACACTATCTGTCGAAATGTTCTGAGCAGAACATTTTTCAAAAAACACCGCCCCCCTTCTGTATATCTGTGATTACCGTCACGAGTGTAGAGGTGGTGACAGCGCAACAGAACGAGAAAATAGATGAAAAGATGGGATAAGGAAGCTTTGTCGATACGGCAACCAACAAAAAGTCTTGTACAAAACCTCAAAAAGTCCTCCGTCACAAACACGAAATGAACCCAAAACTCAGAGGAAAGCAATTATGTCAAAGAGAAAAAGGAACTGCACCAAAAGCATAATGAAATCTGACATTTCTTTCCACGGATAAAAGCATCTCCGCACTCGGTAAGAACAATGAGCAGTTCTGTTCCTCTTGTTTTGTGGAAAACCTGCTTACTTCTAACAGAGTGTTTATTCATACATTTTTGTAAAGGTTGGAGTCTACTCTTCATGCAAAGTCATTGTTAATCCAGGAGGATCGATCCAAGGCTACACAGAGAAGCTTTTACACCTACAGGCAGAGTGTATGTGGGAGAAAACCCACCAAGACGGCTGCTGAAGGATTATTCCTCTTTAAAAATCGTAAATGCCATTTCTCCTGATGTGGCCTCATCGTTAATCATCTTTCGCTGTTTGTTTTGAAATGCTGAATGTCTCGAAAGTAGATAGAAAGATTAAGACTATTCCCACATGATGACATTTTGAGGATGGTAAAGAAATGATTTAGGGCTTTGCTTAGCCTTCACCAGAGTCTCGTTAAAGGCTCTAACGGAAGCGTATTAAAGGAGCATTTGTGGTGGTTAGGGCGAGACACAGAAATATCGTAGGTATATTATGTACTGCTTTAAAACTGCATTGTTTTATTCTGCAATAACTTAATTTTACATTACTACTAGCTGCACATTTATCAGTATTGTAGTGCAGAGCTTATCGTTACAAACAGTTTGAAACAGAGCATTAGAGCACATAGCGCAATTTAAAACATTCAGCAGTTTTTGTTTCAGGAGTGTCTAACTTGCCACAAAGTATACGCTCTGCTACATAAGTTATTATGTCGTTAATAGAGCTGCTCAGTTGACCCAGTCGGGTTAAAGATCCAGATTCTCACAGTGAATCACGACTCACAGATCTGAGGTCTAAATTAACCAGTTCATACATGTCCTCTTGCAGACTACAGCTGTTCCGAGTTAATAACCAACCATAAATGCTGTGGACTCAGACGACTGTATTAGTTGCAACTGGTTAATAACGAACTAGGGATGCACGATATTATCGGCATGAAGGAGGAGCGATTGTCTGGAAAACACAAAGACATTACGAGGAGGAAAAAATAAAACAAGGACTGGATCGTTACTGTTTGCAACTTGGTTCTAAACGTTTGTTAAGGGCCGTTCAAACGACCAGGATCGTTTGTGAACGTCACGTCTCTAAAAACTCCTGTAAATAGGCATATAATAGGAATATATAGGCACTTTGTTTTTTTATTTTTAGAATGGCCGGGGTGCAGCATGAATGGCTCAAGTGAACCAGGTTTCTTCTGAGCGCAAATCAGATTTACCGGATCCATAAATTCAACCGGCTTTACCAGGTTTAGTTATATAGTACTGTCATTAATAAAGTGTTGGGCTACAATTGGAGAATATAGGATCAGTGTTTCCTTCAGGATAAAATAACTCTTCTTGTGCTGAAATTCAAGGTTTATTCTGTCATTTACCAAACATACACCTTAAAGATTACACAACATCTTAAAGTAAAATCAAAACAGACCACCCCACCCCCCCAAAAAAAATTAAATAAAATATTTTACAAGATTAAGCATTAATTAGACTAAAATAAAAGAAAATATTCACAAATATCTTGATCACAAAGATCACTTGTGGGAACAATACGTTCGAAAAATAAATAAATAAATAAAATACTGTACGGTGCAGCAATGAGATGCGTGTCATTGAGCTGTAAATCTGAGGTTCTCTGTCCAAAATGCTTTGTGTCGGCCTTGGTTGTGAGAGTCAGAGACGAGCGGTCTGTCACCCGCTTCGGGTTCGGGGCTTAAATATTTCAACAGCCTTCAGAAAAAGCGCTGAAGTGGCTACGAGTGAATCCTACCGCTTAGCAATTAAAACGGACACCACGTCACGGACAAAAGAAGCAGGGATCAACTTCATAACATAAACTTCAACTATATGAAGCAACTAAATATGAGCAACGCAGTATACGAAAAAAAACATTTATCAGAAAAAATAAAAAGAGCAGAACATTGTTGTTTTAAAGGAATGTACTGCAATAAACTGTTATATTTCGAGAACTTGGCATTTATGAAACAGAAAAAATAAATATGAGCATTTTTTTTTTTTTGCACTTAAAAGGTTTTAACAGAAGTTTTGATAAAGCTGGATTATTTTTCTTACCTGTGACTGACAGCTTGGTTGTCCTCCGTACAACAAAATTCCCAAACGGCAGCTCACAAGTGTAATTCCCAATGTCGTCTTCCCTCACTTCCTTGATGGACAGAACGTCTTTTCTTCTTTCTATGGTATCCCTCCACTGCATTGGCTTGCATTCCTTACATCAAAAATAAATACATAAATGAATTAAATTAAAAAACAGAAACTTGGTAATGTAAAACAAATATACTGGGCACAGTCCAATTTAAACATTTAGGATTTGTGGGATACTTTTTTTTTAATTGTATAAATGCACCGCAGAGAAGACGGCTTCAGGTGTTTTAATTTTAAAAACGTATAACAAGAGGACTGCATTCGGCACTTTATACACCTGATGAAAAATTATACTACAATAATATGGTAGATCTTTAGCGGCTCAGAAGCAAAGACGTTGTTTTAACCAGAGCCCAACTGTTATATCAGTAGGGCCGATATAGACGTTTGGGGACCCATTGTTATCAGTGATTGTTGTTCCATTACACACAGATATAAGCATTTCTAATTTTCACCCCTAAAATGCTGGAAAACAGCCATAATCGCACAATGTATCCAGCAGAGTGCACATGAAGACAACTTTCAAGTCATTGCCATTCACTTAAGTTTCACTTTTGACGTTCAGCGCAGACGAAGCAGGGAGCAATACTGTGTGGCGTATTTTACTGCACAGAGCAAGTTAAGTTTATTTTAACTGATCAGTAAAATAAAAAATAAAAATTTATCTTGAATCCTCCAACTCGCCTGTCATTAACTACGTGCCTCTCAAGTTAGCAAGCGAATGTTAGCATTCATTTGCACCACCTTCACGACATTAGCCACGTTGTCAGTAGTTATAGCAACAGTCCTGTCAGACTGAGTTTTCAGTTTGTGAGGAAATTCAGTGTTAGTAAAGTTTTCAATGTCATCCTCAATGAAATGTATTGTTTGAAATCTTTACTTCTGTGCAAAGAAAAATAAACTCTGCTGCGGTCAATACTAACTAGACCTTCACCATATGTGATTGTTTAAACAATGAGCAAGGAAAGGCGTTTCTTTGCTTAACTTATATTTTTTTTAACACACTTGATAACTTTATGGTGAATAGTGGAGGATAGAAAATGTGAAAGTACGTTAAGAAAACTGTTTTTTAACCAGTGCACCACGTGTAAACCTACTGTGGGACTAGGTATAGAGTGGATCTGATTAGCTTAGCTTCATGGTTGCTAACAGCCGCGCTAAATAAACAAGCCCCGCCCCACTCGCTGTTTATTTAGATTCTTGGGGTGAACAAAGCTAAAAAAAATTCAGCCATTATACTGGTTATCGGCAGCTGCCTTCCCCTGCCAATGTTGGTATTGGCGATAGCTAAAATTTCCATATCAGTTGGGGCTCTAGTTTTAACTTTGACCTTGATTTGTGACTTTGACATTAAAGCTGGAGTGATGTAAAGTGTGTATACTGTATATATTATATATACTCATATGCACACCAAGTTTCATTGCATGAAGTGGCTCAGATGTTATGTGTGGAACAAAAGAAAGTACGAATGAACAAAAATTTGCAGAATCTACAAACAACATAGGATATTTACCGTATTTTTCGCTGAATAAATTGCACCTTTTTGCATAAATTTGCAAGTCCTGCGATTTATACACCGAAGCGACTAATATAATCCCCCCCCCCCCCCATATTTATAACCCAATTTTTGGCTGACATCTGACGATTTTATTCATTCTGACATAGAGCATATTGAACACTAACATTTTCAGCCACTAGAGGGCCCTCGAGTACTATGGCAAGCCAAGTGTCTCATTAATAGGTAAAAGTGGTTATTAATGAAACACTTGGATTGCCATAGAAACCACCTTCATCTTGCTCCGAACTCCTGGAGCAAACGTTAAATCAGCTGCATTTTGCCGCGCTGCCCAGGTGAAATGCAGCTGATTTGACCATTAAAGTGCATTTATTAAGGAAAAGTTAGACTGAAACAAACCTTTACTATAATTTCAAGCAAACAAATAATTGTTTTTAAGTGTTGATCTTGTTAAATTATTTTTAAAGTCCTCCTGTGCATGCTCCCGCAGCTGCCATTTGGCAGCCAATCGATTTTTAGCACAACACTGGCCCACATTTCCGGGTGGTTACCGGTGATGCATAACAAACACGATGCGTCAGCGGTGAAGCATAATAGATACAACTTGTACGGCAAAGCAATTCATTTGTTTTTTTCCCCCCACTTTATTAGGCAAATTTTAACTGATGCGACTTATACAGCGGTGTGACGTGTACAGCGGAAAGTATGGTATATACATAAATTAGTCTATAACCTTTAAATATTGTGGTAAAAATAGACTGACATGCAGGACAAAAAGCACCAAAGGCCACAGTTGTGAGTAACTGAAGTGTGTGAACAAGAATAACTTAATTTAAAATTGTGCACAGAGACTAAGAGTATTAGATTCCTTATAGTTGTCACAGAATGTCATGGCAAGTTTTAATTAAATGCACATTTTGTTTCACTCACAAGCTAGAGAACATTGTTTTCTCCACAGGTATGTCTACCCTCTGTG